AGTTTGGCACGTTAGCCAGGAGGAAGCAGACCGTGAGTGTTTTCGACCACAAACCCCATCCCTCCCGTTTTGCAACCATCCCTGGACCAGTGACAGGTGCATGAGCAGCCCAGTCATTGGAAATAAACATGGAGGAAACCAGTGGAAAAAATGAAAGGGGCCACTCTGGTCTCAGCTTGGGCTCAGGGGCGTGCTCCGTACCCCCAAACCTTACCTCCCTTTTCACAAATTCAATGAAAGGGGCCACTCTGGTCAGGAAGCAGATCGGGATTGTTTTTGACCACATACCCCATCCCTCCTGATTCGCAACCCCATGGACCAGGCGGTAGCAGGTAACCCAGCTGTCAAGTTACTTGGCAGAAACCGCACCCAGTCGCAAAACGGGAGGGTCGCTATTCGTGGTGTCACAGCTGCAGCACCCGCTCCGTACAGGGAGTCACACGCCGGAGGGGTTGAGACCCGACCCGTCATCGTTATTTCTGTTACCTTTGTAGCTGAATGGACGGGGCCGAGCCCCCGCCGGTGTAAGTCACGGTCCGTGCCCCAGCTGGTTGGAGCGGAGCAAATTCCAGGGCCCGGAGCTGGCGGGGGGGAGCCAGTATAGGGGTGTCAGTGCCCCCCCAGCTGCTGTTCCTGCTCCCCAGGGATCGCTGGGTTCAGTAATTCCCCCGCCCAGCACCGCCCGCCACAGCTCGGTCCGGCTGGGAAATAAAGCAGCAAAAAGCACCAGCCAGTTCTCAGCCCCGCCCCTGGGTGGATGGAGAAGGTGGAGGAGGGGGGATGCTGCGGGGGGGGGAGTCACTGGGTGGGGACGGGGGTGGGAAACAACAGCTGATCAATGGTGGGGGGGGAGATCAGCAGAGACTGACTGGCGGCTTCTGCAGACGCTGGGGGAGGGCGGCAGCAGCTCTGGGACTCGCAGACCCCCGGGAGCAGAGCTGGGGCGAGGAGGGGCCGTTGGTGCAGAGTCACTTTCCTGCCCGGCCCCGGCCCTTCCCCCGGGTCTCTCCCCTCAGCTGCAGGCTCCGGAGCTGCTGTCGGCAGAGCCCGGGACTGGTTCCCGCCCCCGGAGAAACGTCCCCCCCGGAGTGCAATGGCGAGTGTGAGTGTCAGCGAAGGCTCAAGGCTGGAGGTCAGATCCCGGGGGGGGAAGCGGCGGGTCCCGTCACTGTTACGCTGGAACCAGCAGCCTGGAGAGGAGGGGTCCGTGGGGCTCCCTGGGCTGGATCCTGATAAATCATAGATTCATAGATTCATAGATTATAAGACTGGAAGGGACCTCGAGAGGTCATCGAGTCCAGTCCTCTGCCCGCATGGCAGGACCAAATACTGTCTAGACCGCCTCTGGGACCTCACCTGTCCTCCATGAGTTCTCACCTGAGCTCCCCTCCCCCCAGCCCCGCTCCTTCCAAAACAGGGAACAGGAGCACGCGGGGGAGCAGAGCCCAGATCTGGGGCCGTGTCCCTGCTGCTCAGCAGAGATGCTCCCAGCCACCGACACCCCCTGCAACCCCCCCTCCATCTCCCCACGCAGCCCTTAGTCACAGCAGCCCCCCGAGACCAACATGATGTGTGAAATGGGAGGGTTTGCAGGATCAGGCCCTTGTTGGCTCTCTAGTATATTATTGCTCCATATTTCATACAGGGAAAGGCATGATCCAGGATGGGGGTCTGAGCGGGGCGGGGGGGGGGACTTCAGCACTGGAGCCCAGGTGGGGAAGGGGCTGAGATCCAGGCAGCTGAAGCTGGTCAGCGTGTCAGGAACTGCTTCCCAGAGGAATTTGTTACCAGTAGCAAGAACCGAAACTCACTTGGAGGCCAGAGCCGAATTGTTTGCAGTAGCAGTCCCCTAGGTGCCTCTTTCTGCCTGTAGTCATGTGCACTGTTGCCCCCACTAGGCCCAACACACCTATCTCCTGCCCAATCCCTAGCACGAACCATGACCCTGGGGAAGACAGGTGCTCCTCCACTTATCTCACCTGCAAGGTCTGATCCAGCAGGTCTGCTCAGAGAACAACCATCAGATCCAGTCTCAGACAAAACCTGGCCAGAGGAGGATGTGCCATCCCGATAGATAGAGCACTCACCTGCAGTATGAAAAGACCCATGTTCACTTCCCCTCTGTGTGAGGGAGAGAAAGGACTTGAACTGGGGTCTCCCACATCTCTTAGGAGAGCTCTCTAATCATTTGTTCTAGTGTGTTTTCAGATACTGAAGTTACGCTGACTGGTCTATAATTCCCTGGGTCGTTTCTGTTCCCTTGTTTAAAGATAGGTACAATGTGCCCATCTCCAGTCCTCTGGGACCTCACCTGTCCTCCACTAGTTCTCAACAATAATTATTAAAGTTCTGAGATTGTTTCAGGGAGTTCTTTGGATGCTCTGGGGTGAATTTCATCAGGCTCTGACAGCTCCAATACATCTACATTATCGAAATATACTTTAACCTGTTCTTTCCCTATTTTCACTGGCATTCCTCCCCCCTTGCTGTTAATA